TCACACTTGGAGCCGCGAACGAGATCGAACGACAGAGTCGACGCTGCTTATATATAATCTTTATCGTAATGTGCTACATATATTTATTTACTGCATTAATATATATTTCCTTTTTTGGCAGCCTTTTTTTTTTTAAATCTATTCTGTATATATTTTATTTTATTTCAAATATTACTCTAACATGATAAGTATTTTGAGAAAAAACACATTTTACTACAGTAAGAAGCTTTTACGATATGAAAGATCTTTCAATTTCCCTTTTAATGATCATTATCTTAAAGGAATGAACTAGCTTTTATCGTACTGTTAAATACGAATTTAAATAATTAGGTGCTACTTTTTAAGAATATTAATTTCAAAAATCAAATATTGAAATAAGAAAACTTTTAACTTTAAATTTAAATTTCGTAAATTAATCATTTGAAGTTCAGTGGAAATTATTAGTCTTATTCTACCTTATAATACTACGAATTAAAATACTTAAAGTGTTGCTTGGTACTATCTTGTACTTTTTCGGTGAAATGTCAGTCGACCAAATGTCCGTTAGGACAAGTGTTTCTGGGCCAAACGTCCGTTAGGCCAAATGTCACACGGCCAAGTGTTTTTCAGGTCCACGGCCAATGTCTCACGGCCAAGTGTTTCTCGGCTAAATGTCTCACGTCCAAGTGTTTCTGTGCCAAATGTCTCACGTCCAAGTGTTTCTCGGCTAAATGTCTCTCGGTCAAGTGTTTCTCGGCTAAATGTCTCACGACCAAGTGTTTCTCGGCCAAATGTCTCACGTCCAAGTTCTCAACTTTCTGTCCAAGCTCTGCAAATGTCTCACGTCCAAGTGTTTCTAGTTTCTCACTCCAAGGTTTCGGCTAAATGTCTCTCAAGTGTTTCTCAGCTAAAAATCAAGTGTTTCTCGGCCAAATGTCTCACGTCCAAGTGTTTCTAGGCCAAATGTCTCACGGCCAAGTGTTTCTCTGCCAAATGTCTCACGTCCAAGTGTTTCTCTGCCAAATGTCTCACGTCCAAGTGTTTCTCTGCCAAATGTCTCACGGCCAAGTGTTTCTCGGCTAAATGTCTCACGTCCAAGTGTTTCTCTGCCAAATGTCTCACGTCCAAGTGTTTCTCGGCTAAATGTCTCTCGGTCAAGTGTTTCTCTGTCCACGGCCAATGTCTCACGTCCACGGCCAAGTGTTTCTAAATGTCTCATCGCCAAATGTCTCACGTCCAAGTGTTTCTAGGCCAAATGTCTCACGGTCAAGTGTTTCTCTGTCTCACGGCCAAATGTCCCACGTCCAAGTGTTTCTCTCTCAAAACAAAATGTCTCACGTCCAAGTGTTTCTCGGCTAAAAAAACAGTCAAGTGTTTCTCTGCCAAATGTCTCACGTCCAAGTGTTTTCTAGGTCAAATGTTTCTCAGGCCAAATGTCTCCCGGCCAAGTGTTTCTCTGCCAAATGTCTCACGTCCAAGTGTTTCTCGGCCAAATGTCTCACGTCCAAGTGTTTCTCTGCCACGGCCATGTTTCTCACGTTTCAAGTGTTTCTCTGCCAAATGTCTCACGGCCAAGTGTTTCTCGGCTAAATGTCTGGCCATGCTCTCCTTAATGTTTTTTTTCTTTTTCTCATATTCTTTCAAACTCAGTAACTCATTGCGTCTTAGTGATTTTATTGCCTTGCATGGAGTGAAATAAATAAAGACAAAACATTCGTTATCTGTAATATCTTCTAAATAGATTCATATCTGAAATGGTATCAACGACAAGCTCACGTATATTTGCAGGAAGCAAAGCAAAGAAAAGAATATTTTAGTTTGTGTCATTGTGCTTCATTTAGAAAACAAGTTCAAGTAGATAACATGTTTGATATTTATTCCGGAAGTTTAAATCTTAGAATTTTTTATAAAGTAGTGAATTTAATTTTCTAGATGTTATAATTTCTAAATAGTTTCATAAACTGAAATGATATTAATATGACAAACTCATATTTATTTTAATTGTTTTGTTGTTATCATGCAGCTTATAAAAATCTGTTTTTTAAAAATTTATTTTACTATGGCATGTCGAAATCTGTTCTAATTTAGTTTTCAATAAATAGAAAACTGGTGAAGGTAATTTCTTAAATAAGATTTTTATTGACAAACAAAAATTAGCTATTCTAGTTTATTTAAAGAATTTGTAATAACTTCAATTCAAGCTATGTAAATGCCGTTAAAATATATCACGAGTAAAAAATACTCAAGATGGATACGTGTGAGTTAGAGAGTGGCTTCTTCCGAGGTGGGGTCTATAGGAGTCCCAAAATTATAATGTGACCCTGAGTATCATAGTATCAATAATTTAACACTCATTATTCTCCAATCTCTAAAAGTAGTCATGTATTCGTGACGCAGTGACATGGAACTGAGAAATTCCTTAATATCTTGTGAATTCTGTTTTTCTCATTTGAAAAAAAAATTCACCCTAAACCACCGCTTAGGTCTAATAATTGTCTCTATCTACTGAAAAAACTGATCATATGAAGCTTCTTTTCTTTTAACTTGTCATGACGCTTCCCTTCATGTTACTTCTTTGCTATAATCAGGCGCGCATAATTTCACATGCAGCTGTCAGTGGCAATTCAAAATGAACACACACACACACACACACAAGATATATATATATATATATATATATATATATATAATATAAATAAATGTGTGTGTGTGTGATGTGTGTGTGTGTGTGTGTGTGTGTGTGTGTGTGTGTGTGTGTGTGTGTGTAACGAATGCACGGCCGCAATTTTCGACGGATTTGCACCAAAATTTACATGCACATGCTCCAAGTTAGCGGGAAGGCCAACACCGACTTTGCATTTCCCAACTCCCATCGATAGTAGAAATAATCGATTTTTTCATGTTTCTACGACAGTTTTCATGTAGTCTGCGTCCATTTTGTACTGGCCAGAGTGAGAGCCAATAGCTGACTGCCACGAATAGGAAGGAAGATTCTATTGGCCAGCTCGAGAGCCAACAGCTGACACGAATGTTAACTAGCATGATAGCATGCTAAAAATTGATAGCTGTATTCGTCACAAGTGGGAAAAATTTAAATCAGCATGGCACTTTACTCCAATTGGCTTATTCGCTTGCTTAAAACCAACGTTGATTCTGATTTCGCAGAACTGGGTTGGGTGTGAAAAAGTATTTGTTGTTAACATTCTTTTTCATTCGGTTTTTCCAGTTACGAGTCCTTTTTTAAAGCTGATAGTTTTGTGTCCATTTTTTCGTAACAAATTTAATGTTTAGTATAGAGCTTAGAAAAAATTCGCAGTGTGAGATAGGCAAGAAGTAAGTCATGTAGCAACATCAGCACGGCAAAGGGCACTCCTTTAAAGGCAAGGAAGGGTAAAACTATTTTAAGTCAAGTGATAGCGATTGCTGTATGAGTCGTACGATTGTTAAATCAAGCATGGGCAACGTCGGGCCAAGCTGCTAGTATATATATATATATATATATATATATATATATATATATATATATATATATGCCAGATACTTAGTGGAATGCGCTCAATAACAGTGACACAGCTAACATATTTACTTGCGTTGATATGAGGTTCTGACGCGGGGTTTCACACCCTTTGCGTTTGTCAGGTAAACACGATCGCAAAGGGCGTGAAATCCACGGTCACAAACTCACATCAACGCAACTATATATATATATATATATATATATATATATATATATATATATAAAAATAAATAACTAGACTCAATTCAAAAACCCTCAATTTTGATTTGCTAATCAAATCAATCTCGAGGGAAAAAAGGTTTTAAAAAAAAGAAAGAGCTACAAACATGAACTTCTGCCGACAAAAAAAATCGCACAGTTGCAGGTCTGAAGCCCAAAGAAAAAACCCCGATACGAGTAACAACTAACTAACAAAAAGAGAATACAACCGTAGAGCAGACCTAGATACACTTGTGAGTTAGACAAACCTACCTAGGTTTCACCTAAACGGATCGTCAGGGAAAGTTTGGCTAACGAGGCAAAAAAAACACATATTTTTAACTTTCCCTGACGATCCGTTTAGGTGAAACCTAGGTAGGTTTGTCTGGCTCACTAGGTGTATATATATATATATATATATATATATATATATATATATATATATATGACAATAGGAAAATTGTAATTGTTGCTGACGCGTTTCGTCCAGTGTGGACTTATATAAGGGTCCCTCACGTCGGTTTCGACGTATGAGGGTCTGACAGCTTATTGATTCAGTTATGGAAGTTTGTACGATAATCTTAAGTGGCATTTAAGACCCGCTAGTGATTTACAAAGGAGGCCACATATGGAGCAAGTCTGAGGATTGTGCGATGAGATCACTGTTAGATTGGCTGACCTTTTAGATCTTGCTCTCGCTTCTTGAAGATGATTTAGAGAAGCAGATTGAAAATTGCTAAGTCCACTAAAACACGTTGATCTCCTTTCTACTCGCTAAGCGCTCAAGGGTGTTATGTGGTATATTGACTGCTGACATGATAAGAACGAATCAAGGTAAACCACCGGAAAACCCACACAAATGATTTGATTAAAGTGGTGAAAGCTTGTGCAGAACCATCCACACTGTTCGGAACTACTGATGGACTCAGTCGGTGCAAATAAATGCCACAGACGAAGCAGACAATAGACCTCAGGCTTTTCGTGTAATAGTTTTCTATCTCCTAGACCAATCGTGTTCTATAACTCTAATGAGCTTGGTCAGCCCTGGTAGACACTATTTGCCCATAGTTGGGACCCTAACAGATGCTACCACACCGGGTCAGGGCGGACCTGGGAACAACAGCAATTAAAAGTTCGTTCCACGCTCCTAAAATCCTCCAATCTCCCAATGAGAAGACTTGCTGCCGGATGTAGTTTACCGTCATACCCAGGACATTCATATATATATATATATATATATATATATATATATATATATATATATATATATATAATATGCGTGGATATGAAAAAAAAAAAAAGAGACAGAGATGAAAGAAGAAAGCTCGCTCGTAAAACGATTTATGAAAGAAATAATTAAGAAAGTCGGAAAAAAAGAAAGAAGGAAAGAAACAAAGAAATAAAAAGAATGGAATCAAAGAGGAAAGACAGAAAGGAAGAAACGAATAAAGAAATAAAGCTTGAAGGAAAAGAAAGATAAATAAATAAAAAAGAAAGAAATGAAAGATTAAAATAGATAGAAAGAAAGAAAGGAAGAATTTACGAAAGAAAGAAAACCGCATTATTAAAACATAAAAAGATAGACGAAAATATAGAAGAAAAAACAAAGAAAGAAAGATAAGAATGAAGAAAGAAAGAACGAAAGGAAAGAACGAAAGAAAGAAAAGAAGGAAGAAGGAAAGAAATTAAGAAGGAAAGAGAGAGAGAAAGAACGAACTGACGAACAAAAGAAAGAAAGAAAGAAAGAGATTATGTACGAAAGGACAAAAGAAAGGAAGAAAGAACGAAAGAAAGAAATGAAGGAAGAAGGAAAGAAATTAAGAAGGAAAGAGAGAGAGAGAAAGAACAAACTGACGAACAAAAGAAAGAAAGAAAGAAAGAAAGAGATTATGTACGGAAGGATAAAAGAAAGGAAGAAAGAACGAAAGAAAGAAAAGAAGGAAGAAGGGAAGAAATTAAGAAGGAAAGAGAGAGAGAGAAAGAACAAACTGACGAACAAAAGAAAGAAAGAAAGAAAGAAAGAGATTATGTACGAAAGGATAAAAAGAAAGGAAGAAAGAAACAGAAGAAAAAAAAGAAGGAAGAAGGAAAAGAAATTAAGAAGGAAAGAGAGAGAAAAGAACGAACTGACGAACAAAAGAAAGAAAAGAAAAAGAAAGAAAGAGATTATGTACGAAAGGATAAAAGAAAGGAAGAAAGAACGAAAGAAAGAAAAGAAGGAAGAAGGAAAGAAATTAAGAAGGAAAGAGATAGAGAGAAAGAACAAACTGACGAACAAAAGAAAGAAAGAAAGAAAGAAAGAGATTATGTACGAAAGGATAAAAGAAAGAACGAAAGAAAGAAAAGAAGGAAGAAGGAAAGAAATTAAGAAGGAAAGAGATAGAGAGAAAGAACAAACTGACGAACAAAAGAAAGAAAGAAAGAAAGAAAGAGATTATGTACGAAAGGATAAAAGAAAGGAAGAAAGAACGAAAGAAAGAAAAGAAGGAAGAAGGAAAGAAATTAAGAAGGAAAGAGAGTGAGAAAGAACGAACTGACGAACAAAAGAAAGAAAGAAAGCGATAACGTAAGAAAGGACAAAAGAAAGAAAGAAAGAAAGAAAGATAGAAAGAAAGAAAGAAAGAAAGAAAGAAGGAAGAAAAAAGAAAGAAAGAAACAAGGAAAGAAATAAAGAAAAATGAGAGAGAGAAAGAACGAACTGACGAACAAAAGAAAGAAAGAAAGCGATAACGTAAGAAAGGACAAAAGAAAAGAAAACAAGAAAGAAAGAAAACCACAGAAAAAGATGAAATAACTTAGAAGAAAAGCGAAAGAATGATATGAAGGATAAAAGAAAGGAAAAAGGAAGGGAATAAAGAAAGAGAAAGAAAGAAAGATAAAGAACAAATTGACGAACAAAAGAAAGAAAGAAAGAGATAACTTGAGAAAGGACAAAAGAAAGAAAGAAACAAACAAACAAACAAGTAACGAAAAAGAAAGAACCGAATGAGTTCGGACGCGTAAGTGAAAGGAAAGAAACTTGAAGAATTTGATTTCACATAAGAATCGAATGCTGACTGAAAAGAAGTCGCAGAGGTACAAATCAGCGGAACTGAAGAGGTCACAAAAAATGAATTCCGGAATTTGATGGCGGGAAGCGAAGCTGGTTTGGCTGGGAGACGGGGTTTGAATTGGTAGTTGTCGGCGTGTAAGCGATAGCAAACACCTTGGTGACGTAGTGTTTCTGCTTTTAACAAGTAAACATGTTTGTGTCATTTCTTAGGCAATTATATTCATGTAAGGAAAAATATGTCAGTATCGATTTTTTGTTGATGTAGGGAGACGGGGGGGAGTTGACTGCCGAGGTGAGGATTGTTTGGCGTTGTCGATAATAGAAAAGGTGAAAAAGGAGAATGCCGACATTTTTTTTTTCGTTTGGTTGAATGTCGAAATAAAAGAAAGAAGGAAAGAAAGAAAAAATAGAGATTAGAAATCAATAAAGGCAGAGTGAAAGAAAACAAGAGAGAAGGAAAAAGAAAAATAGAAAAATATATACGAAAGAGTGAAAAGATGAATAAAAGGAAAAATATAGGAAGGAAAGAATAAAAGCGTTTTGAAGAAATAAATAAAGAAAGAAAGAAAGAAAGAAAGAAAGGAAGGAAGGAAAACAGTCAGCGGTTTAAAGAAAGAAAGAAAAAATAAAAGGAAAGAAGTGAAAGCGAAATAAAAAAGGTAGACAATCAAGTAATATATATTGAATGTTATAAAAAGATGAAGAAGATGAGTGTAAGAAAGAAAGAAAGGTGACTGAATAGAAATACAGAAAGGAAAAAAGAAAGATAGATGGTTCAGTAGAAAGAAAGAAATACGTTGAAGTAAAAAGAAAGAAAAAAGGTGAAGTAAAAAGAAAAAAAAGGCAAAGTAAAAGGAAAGAAAGACGATAAAGTAGAAAGAAAGAAAGAAAGAAAGAAAGAAAGAAAGAAAGAAAGAAAGAAAGAAAGAAAGAAAAGCGGTAAAGCAGAAAGAAAGAAATACGGTGGAGCAAAAAGAAAAAAAGGACGTGAAACAAAAAAGAAAGAAAGAAAGAAAGAAAGAAAGAAAGAAAGGAAAGATGGGTGGTAAAGTAGAAATACAGAAGAAATACGGTAAAGTAAAAAGAAAGAAGATGAAGCAAAAGAAAGGAAGGAAGGAAGGAAGGAAAGAGGGTGGTAAAGAAGAAAGAGAGAAAAAAATACAGTAAAAACAAAAAAAGAAAGAAAGAAGATGAAGCAGAAGGGAAGGAAGGAAGGAAGGAAGGAAGGAAGGAAGGAAGGAAGGAAGGAAGAAAAAAAAGGTGGTAAAAGTAGAAATACAGAAAAAATACGGTAAAGCAAAAGGAAAGAAAGAAGATGAAGCAAAAGAAAGAAAGAAAGAAAGAAAGGAAAAGAAAGAAAGAAAGAAAGAAAAACGGTAAAGCAGAAATAAAGAAATTCAATTAGAGCAAAAAAAAAAAAAAGGACGTGAAACAAAAAAAGAAAGAAAGAAAGAAAAGAAAGAAAGAAAGAAGGAAAGGAAAGATGTGGGTAAAGTAGAAATACAGAAGAAATACGGTAAAGCAAAAAGAAAGAAGATGAAGCAACATAAAGGAAGGAAGGAAGGAAGGAATGAAGGAAGGAAGGAAGGAAGGAAGGAAAAAGCGTGGTAAAGTAAAAAGACAGAAAAAATACGGTAAAGCAAAAGGAAAGAAAGAAAGAAAGAAAGAAAGAAAGAAAGAAAGAAAGAAAGAAAGAAAGAAAGAAAAACGGTAAAGCAGAAATAAAGAAATTCGGTGGAGCAAAAAGAAAAAAAGGACGTGAAACAAAAAAGAAAGAAAGAAAGAAAGAAAGAAAGAAAGAAAGAAAGAAAGAAAGAAAGAAGGAAAGGAAAGATGTGGGTAAAGTAGAAATACAGAAGAAATACGGTAAAGCAAAAAGAAAGAAGATGAAGCAAAAGAAAGAAAGGAAGGAAGGAAGGAAGGAAGGAAGGAAGGAAGGAAGGAAAAAGGGTGGTAAAGTAGAAAGACAGAAATATACGGTAAAGCAAAAAGAAAGAAAGAAGATGAAGCAAGAGGAAGGAAGGTAGGAAGGAAGGAAGGAAGGAAGGAAGGTGGTAAAGTAGAAAGACAGAAAAAATACGGTAAAGCAAGAAAGAAAGAAGATGAAGCAAAAGAAAGAAAGAAAGAAGGTGATGTAAAAAGAAGGTAAGTAAGGAAGACGTTGAAGCAAAACACACGAAAAAGAGAGAAAGACGGACGTAAAGCAAAAGAGAGAAAGAAAAAAGGGAAAGGACGTAAATAGAAAGAAAGACGTTGAAGCAAAATACAGCAGTAAAACAGAGAGAAAGAAAGAAAGACGTAAAGTAAAAGAAAGAAAAAAAAGAACAAAAAGACACGTACAAAAGAAAGAAAAATAACGGGGAAACAAAAAGAAGGAAAGAAAGGAAGACGTTGACGCAAAACACACGAACAGAAAAGAAAGAAAGAAAGAAAGACGGACGGACGTAAAGTAAAAGCAAGAAAGAAAAATGGAAAAAAAGACGTAAACGGAAAGAAAGAAAGAAAGAAAGAAAGAAAGAAAGAAAGAAAGAAAGAAAGAAAGAAAGACGTTGAAGCAAAATACGGGAGCAAAATAGAAAGAAAGACGTAAAATAAAAGAAAGAAAAGAAAGAAAGAAAAAACGAAGAAAGAAAAAAAACGTAAATAAAAGAAAGAAAAGAAAGAAAGCAAGAAAAAAGGAACAAAGAAAGAAAAAGACGTTGAAACAAAAAGATAGGATTCAAAGAAAGTTGTAGACAAATAAAATATTGCGAAAGGAAGCAGAGAAGCATAACAAGAAAAAAACTGAGTCAGAAAAAAAGGCAAAAAAAAAAGAAAAAAAAGAAAGAAAAGTGAGGAAAGGAAGAGAAAGAAATAGAGAATTGTAGAATGTAAGTAAAAAAAGAAATGATTCAATAAATCTAATGATAGGATAATATATACAGTGCAATGAAATTGAGCGGGAGAATCTTGTCCGTAAAATATGATTGAGTTTCGTCATCTGATGGTCTCTGTAGGAACTAATTAGAAGGTAGTTGAACTGATAAGGACGAAGAAGGAAAGATTGCAAGAAGGAAGAAGGCGGTAAAGAAGGCAGAAATGTCTGAGGAGACTGATGAAAGGTCGGAAAAAATAAAAAGCCGGGTTAATTTGATAGAATTAAAGGGAAGTTAAGTTGTCCATTAAATAAGAGAAAGAGGGAAAAAATGGCGGTTTTTTTTTGTACGCAGTAAAAAAAAGAAAAAAAGAGAAAGACAACGTAAATAAATTGAAAGAAAAATGTGGGAAAAAAGTGTTATGTGATGAAGGAACAAATGAAAGAGAAAGGAAGAGAATTATACTATTTTTGAAAAGATGGAAAGAAGGAAGGAAAGAGAGAGAAAAGAAAGAAAAGGAGAGGAAAGAAAGAAAGAAAGAAAGAAAGAAAGAAAGAAAGAAAGAAAAAATATACTATAAAAGAAATAAAAAGTAAAACAAAGACAGAATAATATAAGAAAGGAAGAAAGAAAAAGAACGAAAGAAAGAGAAAAAAGAGAAAGAAGAAGTGTGAAAGAACGAAAACGTGAATGACAGAAAAGGTGAATGAAGGAGAGAAAGAAAGAAGGAAGGGAACAAAGGAAGAGAATGAATGAAAGAGAGATGATAAAGGAAAAAGAAAGCAAGAAATTGAGAAAAAAAATCTGACTTTCAAAGAAAGAAAAGTATGAAAGAAAGATAAGTGAATGAATAAAAATGGCATGAGTAAAGCGAAAGAAAGTAAGAAAAAAAGAAAGAAACAAAAAAGAAAGAAAGAAAGAAAAATTGAAAGGTGAATGAAAGAACGAACAATGAGAAATTACGAAAAAAATAAAAAAGAAAGCAAGCAAGCAAGAAACAAACAAAGAAAAGGCGGTGAATCAAAAGGAAAGGAAGGAAGGAAGGACAGGCGGTGAAAAAAAAGAAAGAAAGAAACAAATAAACAAAAAGAAAGAAAGAAAGAAAGAAAGAAAGAAAGAAAGAAAGAAAGAAAGAATGAAGGAAATAAAGAAAAGGCGGTGAAACAGAAAGAAAGAAAGAAAGAAAGAAAGAAAGAAAGAAAGAAAGAAAGAAGGAAAGAAAAGGCGGGGAAACAAAAAGAAAGAAACAAAGAAACAAAGAAAGAAACAAAGAAAAGGCGGTGAATCAAAAGGAAAGGAAGGAAGGAAGGACGGGCGGTGAAACAAAAAGAAAGAAAGAAACAAATAAACAAAAAAGAAAGAAAGAAAGAAAAGAAAGAAAAAATGAAGGAAAGAATGAAGGAAATAAAGAAAAGGCGGTGAAACAAAGAAAGAAAGAAAGAAAGAAAGAAGAGAGAAAGAAAGAAAGAAAGAAAGAAAGAAAGAAAAGGCGGGGGAAACAAAAAAAGAAAGAAAACAAAAAAAACAAAGAAAGAAACAAAGAAAAGGCGGTGAATCAAAAGGAAAGGAAGGAAGGAAGGACGGGCGGTGAAACAAAAAGAAAGAAAGAAACAAATAAACAAAAAGAAAGAAAGAAAGAAAGAAAGAATGAAGGAAAGAATGAAGGAAATAAAGAAAAGGCGGTGAAACAGAAAGAAAGAAAGAAAGAAAGAAGAGAGAAAGAAAGAAAGAAAGAAAGAAAGAAAGAAAGAAAGAAAGAAAGAAAGAAAAAAGGCGGGGAAACAAAAAGAAAGAAACAAAAGAAACAAAAGAAAGAAACAAAGAAAAAGGCGGTGAATCAAAAAAGAAAGGAAGGAAGGAAGGACAGGCGGTGAAACAAAAAGAAAAAAAAGAAACAAATAAACAAAAAAAAAGAAAAAAAGAAAAGAAAAAGAATGAAGGAAAAGAATGAAGGAAATAAAAGAAAAGGCGGTGGTGAAACAGAAAGAAAGAAAGAAAAGAAAGAAAGAAAGAAAGAAAGAAAGAAAGAAAGAAAAAGAAAAGAAAACAAAAAGAAAAAAGAAAGAAAGAAAGAAAGAAAAGGCGGGGAAACAAAAAGAAAGAAACAAAGAAACAAAGAAAGAAACAAAGAAAAGGCGGTGAATCAAAAGGAAAGGAAGGAAGGAAGGACGGTCGGTGAAACAAAAAGAAAGAAAGAAACAAATAAACAAAAAGAAAGAAAGAAAGAAAGAAAGAATGAAGGAAATAAAGAAAAGGCGATGAAACAGAAAGAAAGAAAGAAAGAAGGAAAGAAAGAAAGAAAGAAAGAAAGAAAGAAAAGGCGTTGAAACAAAAAGAAAGAAAGAAAGAAACAAACAAAGAGATGAAGAAAAGGCGGTGAAACGAAAAGAAAGAAAAAAAGAAATAGAAAATTGAAGAAAGGGAGAAAAAGAGAAATACATTAGTAAATAAAGAAAAAACAAAGAAGTTAACGATTACAAAATTGGAAAAAGAAAGAAATTACAAAAAACGAAATACAAGATGAATGAAAGAAAGAAAATAGGTTGAATGAAAAAAGAAGATAAATTCAATATTTCTGTTGCATTATCTTCTTCATTCCTTCTTTCTTTCAATGTGTGTATTTGTTTTTCCTTTTTCTTCCATTCTGCCCAAAATTCTAATTATCATTGTTTCGCTCTTTCTTTTCATTCTTTCTTTCTTTCTTTCTTCTTTCTTTCTTTCTTTCTTTTTCTTTCTTTCTTTCTTTAATTCTTTTCTTCCTTCTTTCATTCTTTCCTTCATTCTTTCTTTCTGCCCTATATTTCAATTATCATTATTTTTTCTTTGTTTCTATACTATTTTCTTTCTTGCTTACTTTCATCTTTCCTTCTTCTTTCATTCTTTCTTTCTTTTATTCTTCCCTATATTCCAATTACCATTGTTTGTTTATTTCCTTCTTTCTTGCTTTCTTTAACTAATTCATTATTTTCTTTTTTTCTTTCTTTCTTTTCTTTCTTTCTTTCTTTCTTACCTACATTCCAACTATCATTTCTTCAATAAAAAAATCCCAAAAGAAAGAAAAGAATAATATGAAGAACGATACATAAAAAGAAAACGCAGACGACAGATCAATAAGAAAGTGAATTGTATTATGATATGAAGGAAAGAAAAAAAAATGAAAGAAATTTAAATAATAACACCAGAAAAAAGTACGGAAAAGAAAGAAAAAAATATAATGAAACTGAAAAATAAATGAATGAATGAAGCTATAATTATTTTAAGAAAAGAAATTACCCATGAAAAAGCAAGTCAATAAATGAAGAATACATACATATATATATATATATGTGTGTGTGTGTATGTATGTATGTATGTATGCATACATATATATATATATATATATATATATATATATATATATATATATATATATATATTAGAGGCGTTGAATGTATGATATAGGAAAAAAAAAATCATTAAGTTGAATAAAGAACACAAAAAAAAAAACTGTCATGGAAAAAATCAAGAGAAAGAGATGTAAAATTAAAAACAAATGCAATAATAATAATAATAATAATAATAATAATGGCAGGTCTAACACCATCACCACTACTACGATGAGAGCACAGTCTATCTCCTTTCCTCTCTTTACTTAATAATAATAATAATAGTAATGATAATAATAATAATGATAATAATAATAATGATAATAGTAGATTCTGTAGTAAATCAAAACAGAAGCCAAGAACCAACTATTGCAGCAAAAGATATGAAAAAGAAAGCCAAGGATAAAGCCCTTGAACAGATGAAACAACGCTGGCAAGACAAACCTCTGCATGGCCAATATCCAGAACGTGCAAATAAACCCAATGTTGATAAAGTTAATACTCATCGATGGTTACGAGCATCTGGATTAAAGTCTGAAACTGAAGGCTTTATTCTTGCAGCGCAAGACCAGAGTCTTTTTCACTAGGAATTTTCAGGCAAATATCATACATAATAATGTGGATCCAAAATGCAGGTTCTGACAAATACCAAGAAACAATAGACCATCTAATCTCAGGATGTTCTATACTTGCCCCAAATGAATATAAAAATCGTCACGATAGAGTGGGGCAATACTTACACTGGACAATGTGCAAACACTTTGGAAAATGTAAGCAAACACTGGTATGAACATCGGCCAGCGCCGGTTACAGAAATAGAAGATGTCACCATTCTATGGGATTATACCATCCACACAGACAGAAAAATTGAAGCAAATAGGCCGGACATCATTGTCAAAAACCAGAAAGAAAAAAAACGCCTACTAATTGATATGGCTTGTCCAGCGGATTGTAACATAGCAACCAAGGAATTTGAAAAACTATCAAAATACAAAGACCTGGAAATTGAAATAGAAAAAATGTGGAATTGAAAACAAGAATAATACCAGTGGTAATAGGTGCACTTGAATTATAAAAATGGAACAAAACAACACATTGAAAGAATCCCTGAAACCCCAGCTTAAGAGACATACAGAAAATTGTCTTATTAAGTACAGCACACACACTAAGGAGAACTTTGTCTATGTAACGCTAGCAACTTCATCGAGATAAAAAAAAAAAAAAAAATTAACATGAAATGTGGCCATAACAACACAATTAACGACCTGCCTTTTAGGTCTTTCCAAGACTTGGTAGGTCTTTCCAGTAAAATCGAATGATGATGATGATAATAATGATAATAATAATAATGATAATAATAATGATAATAATAATGATAGCAATAATAATAATGATAATAATAATAATGATAATATTAATAATGATAATTATAATATTAATAATAATAATAATAATAATAGTTACATTATCAATAATAATAATAATAATAATAATAATAATAATAATAAACGAAAGAGAAAGATCGTCTGCAACGGCATATGAATGAAGCGACCTGAAAAGCTGGAGAGACACAAACAATGAAATAAGCATTTTTTTCGTTCATTTCATTCATTGCCCGGGCCATTTGCCAATTTTTTTTCGCCCCCTCCATAGTATTTTTTCCAATCCATTTATTTATTTTTGGGGGTCTTTTCTTTTTCTGCCTCTTCTTTTGTCAATTTTTCTTTCTTTCTTTCTTTCTTTCTTTCTTTCTTTCTTTCTCTTTGCCTTCATTTGCATCTTCGTCGATCGGGTCGGTCGTAGCAAATTGGAAGGTAGCCTTACTCAGCGCGAAAGATTAAAGATTTCTAATGAAGCCTAAAGTTTGGGAAACGGCCCAGAGATGACAATAGTACAACAGATTTTCAGTAGAATTTTCAGAGAGAGAGGATGATGGAGGGATAGAAAGAGGCGGAGGGGGAGAAGGCGTGGTGAGAGTGAGGTGAGAGAGTGAGGGAAGAAAAAGTGACAGACTGATGATTAAGCAAGAAAACTAAAAGAATAATAATAATAATAATGGGCAGAAATATGAACGAATTATACCGGGAAACGATAACGGCAGCTTCAGTGGCATCTTTGATTTGCTTAGATAGAGAGAAAAAGAATAGACCAAAGAACAGGAATAGATAGATATGGCAATTATATATATATATATATATATATATATATATATATATATATATATATATATATATATATATATATATATATATGTACACTACCAAACTCCAAGCGTTCAGTTGGACATCCACTCTTACCCTAAAAGAAAAAATTGAAAGACAACTTGAAACATCTCAACTTGGGAAGCCTAAGCATGAAAACGAAAGGAATGGCATAAGACATGTTTCATTAAGTTAAAGGGTTTTGAAGGCAGTAGACAGAAGCACCGTGATCAGCTTCCTCAAGCTCTGAAGCAGAGACGCCATCAAAATCCTGCTTTAACAAATTACATCTGTCAGTGTGGCTCAGTCGTCTGCAGCAACGCTGGGCTAGAATCGCACTTAAGAAAGCACGAATGAAAAATGTCTTTCCCTTACCTGATTTTCTCCACAATAGCCCCTGCTATCATGCATATGTGTAAAACGAAAGGCACCATTCACTGCTGACCCTCATTTATCGTTCACGATAGAAGAATCCACCATAAAAATATATATATATATATATATATATATATATATATATATATATATTCCAGGTCATTTTCCAACTTATTCAAGATGATCATTGCCCTCTCTAACTTTCTAACTTACCGTCCTGCTTCACACTTTTCATGTACGATTTCATTTTTAAGTCTTTTTTCACTGCTCTTTGGACTGTCATTGCTGAAACTCCTCTCTCACGTACCAAATGTCTTATAGACTTGGTCGGACCTTTTATAATTGATCTCTTTGTTCATACTCTTGATTCATCCATTCAAGAAACATCGAGAGAATGGTGAATAGGTTTAAAAAAGAGGAAAACAGTAGAGTGGAAAACTGAATCAGGAGGTCCCAATAGCAAGAAAGATCGTCAACTTAGAGTTAAATATTTTTGACCCAAGTAGAGTCCAGTAGTGTCATAAAAAGCTCGGAGAATTCCAATAAGATATCTTTAATCATTTTTAAGATGTGATGTTACACTCAGTGTAAGTTTTTATACAGAGTGTCCGTAAAATCTTGACACAGGAAATCTCACGAATTCAGATTAAACATGGTTTTGTCGAAAGAAGAAACAACTGACTTTTTTTTTCTGCAGTATGCTAAAGAATGTGTACTCAATAAAAATCACACATGCAACACACTTGACTGAATGGATAAAAGAGTAAATTGTGCTAAAATTGGTGGCAATGTTGCGTTATTGCATCGAGTACACGTGGATCTGGAAAAGCCCATCAACCTTTGCATCTCAAATGATGGAAATCATATTGAAGATCTTATTTCTTAAGATTAATCAATTCATTAAAATGATGTTGAAAATTTCATTTCTTGAAAATGTGCATTTTTTCCGTTAGGGTCACTCTGTATATCGACAACAATTTTAGAGGTAAGACGACTTTCCCCTTTTAGTACTTCATCAAACTAAGCCGGACGAAGTTCTGAAGGTCGAAACGCGTCAAACGAAAAATTTTCCACTTTGTTATATATATATATATATATATATTAATCCGACATATTTTTTACATAAAATGTTACTTTTAGTGGATAACCGTATGTATTAAGTTTGCTCGAGTACTCAGGCCGGTAAACGAAATAAATGCTGTTTAAAAGAACAGGGCGTCTACTCAAATACGGGCATCCACTAAAAATAACATTTGAAGTAATATATATATATATATATATCATCTATGGAGTTTGATATATATTTTATAATTTCAAACGTTATTATAATGGACACAAACGTTATTATAATGGACTATAATAACGTTTGAAGTAATAAAAATATTGGTTTAAAAAGATATCCTTTAGTTCTACATAAATTATATATATATATATATATATATATATATATATATATATATATATGCACAATGACTGTGAGTGTGAATAATAATAATAATACAAATGTATATATAAGGAAAGTCAGAGAATTTATAGTGTTTTTTTTAGCCAAGAAGAACCTCGATAGATAACTAGTGCAAAAAGATTATTCATATATATATATATATATATATATATATATATATATATATATATATATATATATATATGAATTAAATTGGCCTCACCATTATCATAAAGAAAACGAAGGTAATGTACCAGCCGCCTTCTTCTCAGATAAGATTCAGGGTATCAGACAGCTTCCACCAGTTCCTCATATATATATATATATATATATATATATATATATATATATATATATATATATGATCAATATGTAAAGGAGTGTATAGACACTCCTATACATATTGATGTTAAGAACTTGATGTATGTGAACTCATTTCCATATTTAGGAATCAAGATAAATGCAAATGCATACTTGATCACGAAATAACAAATCGTATTGTTAAGCTATTGATAATGTGTCAAATGCTGATCTCACAAAATGCTGATATACTCACAAGTTAGTAGGGCTGGTCATGTTGCAAGGATTAGTGACGACAGAATAACTAAGGTCCTCATGTATAGCCAGCTTCACAGTCGACAAAGGACTGTTAAACAGCTCTGGCTCAGGTATAAAGACAAGCTAAAGAGTGACAACTCAGCTGTCAATCTGCCTCATACTAAATTCGAGCCAGTTTCCCTGGATAGAAATAATTTGAGATATTTGTGCTAGAGTGGTATCACACATTTCGAAATAAGTTGTATCAACCGGCTAAGAGTCGAAAGACAACGGCGTTAAGCGTGAGCAAATATTTCTGTTGTTATGTCACCAAGATCTCCGCTGTTGCACAATATGTGGACTTATATGCGGGTCACTAGCAGGTCTGAAGTGTCACATAAGACACAAACATAAAAACTGAATGAGGTTGTTTTCGGATTTTTATCGAAATCAACGGGATAGTCGATCGTACCTGAGTATGCCTCTCTGCTAGGGTGACTAGCTAATCCCTCTTACACACCCCTGCTCAGGCACATTTGTGTTTGTTGAACACTTAAAGAGCCCATCTAAATATATATATGGTTTGAAGATTGGATTAAATCAAGAAACAGGCTGTCACCGTTCGGTGTTGACTTCAATCTTCACTTTTATATATACACACGTTCTATCTGGGATATTGATAACATTTACTCATAAATACAGAATAATATTAAAAGTACATGCTTTTTATCATATATATCTCCCCTTACCTATGGATTAAATAGTAGAGCAAACTGAGGTATTTAAACTTGGTTGCCAACCAGTCTACTCTTAAATCTGCTGTAATTAATGAAGAAAATTCATTACCGTTTGAGTGACCTACAGAGATAGAAAATTAGTTGGTTGTATATGCTTAGTGGCATGTCAAAACCTCCATGGGTTATTTAATGCCAAAATTTGAATATTTTGTTCGTAATCTTATTTTGTTTTTTGGAGATAATAAAGATTTATTGATACAAGTTTTATTAATTAATCCATAGCTGGGGAGAAGAAGTTTATCTGTACCATTCCCAAGGGTATTTGCACGTAAGTGTATATAACGTACTCAAATGGAATTGGGACTCAGCAGAATAAACCTAGATAGATAGATAGATAGATAGATAGATAGATAGATAGATAGATATGAAAAGACTGAGATAGATAGATAGATAGATAGATAGATAGATAGATAATGAACAGCCCGAGATAGATAGATAGATAGATAGATAGATAGATAGATAGATAGATAGATAGGAATAGACTGGTTTAGATATGAACAAACGGAGATAGATAGATAGATAGATAACGTCGAAATAGGATCAATAAAACTTAACAAAATTTTAGGGTGACTATCATCCCGATTATTTATACAAGTTGAATATCTTGTATCTAAAATTCCCAAATCCGAAAACATGCTGACATGACCTCCTGCAAATGGAACATTTCAGGAAGCACACGTGTGGTTTCTTGGTGATGTGCAGCTGTTGTAAGTGACCTCATGTCCAGTCCAGCTACGTGGCCTACGTTGGAACCATTTTTTTGTTAGCGATCGTCAAAGAAAAACCTTCGTTCGTGGATTACTTAGTAGGTTTCTTGCTCAATAAAGATATTATTCAAAATGTCAAAAACTCCTGCAGATACCCGTTCGGGTAGAGAAAATAAAAAGCATTTATGTTCATCAGTATCGCAGAAAGTCGAACTGTTCGATAAACTAGACAGGGGTGTAAGGTTGAAGAGTCTGTTTGTGGAGTTTGGCGTTTGAACAAACACCGAGGAAACATAAGGAGAAATTGTTAAAGTTTTATGATGAAAGGGTTGAACACAAATTAATGAAAAATAGAAAAAACACAGCAAAGAGCAAAAAATGATGATCTGGACCCTGTTTTAATGGAGTGGATTTGTCAATGTCGGAGTGCTGATCATGAAACAGGTGAAAATCTATCATGACGAACTGAATATTGAAGGTTACTGTGACTATATATATATATATATATATATATATATATACTTAGAGGCGAGAGTCTGTTTCATGCTAGACGCAATCGGCCTGATGATCTTGCATGAGACAGTCTGTCGACTCTAATATATATATATATATATATACACACACACACACATACATTCTCACTCACATATATATATATATATATATATATATATATATATATATAGTGAACGTAGAAGTCAACACTTAGAGGAGACAGTCTATTTCATGCTATATGCAATTGTCAGGCCAAACAGACTGACGACTCTAAGTGTTGACTTCAATGTTCACTTTTATATTTACACACGCTCTATCTCTGGTATTGAGCACTTTATCCCATAAATATAGCACATCTTAAGACTATTTTCTTATATATATATATATATATATATATATATATATGTAAAATAAACATAAAATATATATATGTATATATATATATATATATATATATATATATATATATATATATATATATATGTAACACTACATAATATATATATATATATAACACTACATAATATATGTATATATATATATATATATATATATATATACATGTATATATATCTATATATATACATATGTAACACTACATATATATATATATATATATATATATATATATATATATATATATATATATATATATATAGTTAATATTAGTGGTAAATATAGACATACATATGCAAAATATATAAATATATATACATAGGTGCATACACATACATGTATATTTTTAGAATAAAAATTCCAAGAGGATAGAATCCAGGTAGAACTCAATGTCCAGGACAGAGTAACGATATAATAAAAAGGCTTAAACACTAATATTAGTGACCATGGAATGTTAGTGTTTAAGCCTTTTATTATTATATATATATATATATATATATATATATATATATATATATATATATATTTATATGTAGTGTTACATTGAATATGCACATACCACTACATAACTGTACATCTTGTTACAACGTTAAAGAATAACCCGAAAATTTAACGTTTTATCAAACGGTGAATCACGATGCGACTGAAATATTTTCTTAAGTTGTAATGTTATTGCATAAAGTTAAAAAAAAAATAATGGAAGATCTAGTGAACTCGGATCGAAAACTGACAGTTTTGGTGTCAGTTCGTGGTGTCAGTTTGGTGTCAGTTCGAGCCATCAACACCTTGTTGATACGAATCCTACATTTATTTATGAATTAATTAATGAAAAATAGAAAAACACTCCACAGAGTAAAAAATGATGTTCTGGAACCTATACTGATGGAGTGCATTCGTCAGCGTCGGATTGAACATATGCCGCTAATCTAAAACTATGTTCAGGATATATATGTATATATAAGCTGTGTTATGAAATCTAATAGGATATCATGTTTATGCTTAGATTGCATTCCAAAGCTGCCCTATTTCATAGATGCTCTATGTACAAATTAAATAGCTTATATTCCAACATCTCAACATATATATATATATATATATATATATATATATTAAAAAGAAGAGGGGTGCCGCAAACGTTTTTGGTTGTAATGTGGATTTATTGAGAAAAAATATTATACTTTGTTTTACATAATTTCACGGTGTGTGTATGCGTGTATAAGTACATAATTTCACGGTGTGTGTATGCGTGTATAAGTACAAATAAGTTTACGAATTCCTCGTAGTAAGGAAATATACGCACGCATATATACACGCATGCTGACAGGAACACGCCAAAATAGAAACAGATCCAAGAGCACATAGAGGTCACTAAAACATTAAAAGATTAAATGCCGATAACTACTCGCTGGACAAACCTTAATTGTTTTATGACCCTTCAGGCAGAACTCTTCATTGACAATTCTAGAAAGAAAATTCGGATTGCCAACACACAAACAGAATGTCTCATATCAAGAATATTCCACATTGAACATGAAGAAAAATTAATTATTTTTAATAATATGTAAAAATCTCCACTTTCACCTGAAGACGGTTGCAGAGACCAGACCAGAAACACGTGTCGTGAAATTATGTAAAACAAAGTATAATATTTTTTCTCAATAAATCCACATTACAACCAAAAACGTTTGCGGCACCCCCCTCTTCTTTTAATATACATACTTTTCTCTCGTTGGAACCACTACAACATATTTCCTTTATATATATATATATATATATATATATGTTATTATTATTATTATTAATAGAAATCTTATAAGTGTTAGAAACTATACTCGCTCGGAAAACCTTCGGTGTATTGATTTGCAAATAAACAAACCAATACCAAAGGGGAAAAAATGGTATAAAAAAAAGAAAGAACCAAGAACTTGTACGTCAGCCTAAAATAATCGTCTAGCATCCAAGTCCAGAGTCCAAAGAAAAACCCCCGATACGAATAAGATAAAACCCAATATGAGCCAGAAATCCCTGATGATCCGCTTTGGTGAAACCGTGGTAGGTTTGTCTGGCTCTTTAGGTTTAATTTATATATATATATATATATATATATATATATATATATATATATATATATATATATATTAAATTAATTGATTTAAAATATGGTTTTTTTCGCTACACATTCTAATGAATCACAAACCATGGTTACAGAATTCTGTAACCATAGAAACGTGATTTTAGCTGTGTCTTTAAAACCCAGTAATTTTTAAAAGTTACTCCAAAATTCGCTTGAGGATAAAATGGAACTAATGCTTTTAATTTAATTGCAAAATTAAATTCGGGGCTTTTAGCTTCTATTTTTGAAACATGGTTAGAACTTTGTAGCGAAAAAAAAACATATTTTAAATCAATTAATTTGTAATATTAATGCTCTGTAAATTTACATTGAGCACTATTTTGTAAAAAAAAAATATCTATAAGAACACCGGATTTTATATCTTACTGTTCTTTCTTTTTTATTTATATACATATATATATATATATATATATATATATATATATATATATATAATAAACAATAAAATCCAAAGTCATCTCATATTTGGGGAATATTCTATTTCGGCAGATGAAGATATATCGCTCGTCTGTCTTATCAACCCCGGTGTGGACTGAGTTCTTGCCAGAAATAAAAATTTAACTGTGAAAGCAAAAAAAAAAAAGGGAAAAAACGATATGTTTCTTTATTTAATATTCTATGTATTAAATTATTTCAAACCAGAAAATAGAATTTATATACATGGTTTGCCAAAAGTCGCATTACCATTGATAACCTTGTAAATTCTAGCCAAAAAGGAATCATATTATGTGACGATAAATTATTAAGAAATTTTATTGGTCGAATTATGGAAGATGATGCCACCCAAATTTGATTTGCAAATAAACAAACCAATATCAAAGTGGAAAAAAGGATTTAAAAAGAAAAAACCATGAACATGGACGTGCATCATACGAGTTCAAGGCCTAAAGGAGAAAAACCCCGATGCGAGTACCCAAAATAACTAAATAAAGTGCTCAATACAATGAGTAGAGCAGACCTAGTTAATATTAACTAACTATATATATATATATATATATATATATATATATATATATAAAGAAATATAGTCTTAAGGTGTGCTATATTTATGGGATAAAGTGCTCGATATCAGAGATAGAGCGTGTGTAAATATAAAAGTGAACATAGAAGTCAACAATTTTTAGAGGCGACAGTCTGTTTCATGCTATATGCAATCGTCAAGCCCACGTGTGCTGTTATTTTTCTCGGCTATTTATATATATACGGGTCAGTGGTGCATTGTGGGTAGACTATTACGGTGATTATTTTACCGGAAGTCGTTTATCTATTTATTGAGTATCTTGTATCTGAAAAATAAAAAATAAATACTACGTTACTTAAAAACCGAAAACCGAAAAGAGAAAAAATACAAGTAAAATAAATTGACCTAAATTCATCCAAGTAAATAAATAAACAAACCAATCCCGATAAAGTTACCGTTAGAAAAAACAAATAAAGATAATCAACCCAAATAAACCCAAATTAAAAACTGTTCCTGCCAAAATAATAGTTAGAATAAACTATAACAATCAACCCCAAAACCGAACAAATAGCTTTAATTAAATTCTCAAACCACAACAAAACTATTAAATAAGTGATATAAACAAACTTTTACTACGTTAGTAAAAATACCGATTTAAAAAAATAAATAGATAATTAAATAAAATAAGAAATAAAAAATAAAAATAAATAAAATCAAGCAAAATAATAAATAGATAAACGACATCCGGTAAAATAACCGCCGTAATAGTCTACCCAAAATGCACCACTGACCTGTATATATATAAATAGCCGAGAAAAATAACACGTGGCCTGACGATTGCATATAGCATGAAACAGACTGTCGCCTCTAAGTGTTGACTTCTATGTTCACTTATATATATATATATATATATATATATATTGAAACAGACTGTCGCATATAAAGTGTTGACTTATGTTCAATATACGAAGGATTATATATATATATATATATATATATATATATATATATATATATATATATATACAATGGAAAATATATATAGTTGCCGACGAGTTTCGTCCAATGTGGACTTTCTCAAGGCAAAAAATTAAATGAATTTATTTAAACAAAGTAACTAATAATAACAAAAACAAAATGTCCTTAGCAACTGGAAGAATTTAGAGGACGATATGTTCATACTGTTAACTGAAAATTACGTCAATTACTGTCAGGTGTGGAGATATTGGTATTATTACTGTGTTAACGGATTGAACCATTTTCTTTTGATTTTACAATATTGTTGTGTATGTTTGTTCGGAAGAGTAGT